GCTGAACTTTTTCAGAGTGGACCCTGGGCTTGGAAGCACTTTTAACAAAAGCGTTCACGTACCCATTCAAAGTCGTTTCAGCACGTGAAACGCATGAAGGGGTGGACGCATCTTATCTTAGTAATAATAATAAAAAGACTTTTTGGACTTACAGGGCTGGTGTACGCCCTATGAATAACCGTGATACATTACCCACGGGTCAGTTTTTAACAGAATGTGGTCATGCTTGGGAAAGAGGTTTGATCACTTTGGACCGGACTAAGTCAGCGTGGCTAGCGCCAGCTTTCTTCCAACCGAACAAAACGTTTTCCACCATTTCCTTTAACTTTTGTTCATTGAAGCAATTAAGGACCATAAAGGAAACAAGATACAGGCACACCTCATTTCAGAGCGTCGCACAGCTGTTTTACAAGTGGACGGCAAGGTCCTCCACCAGCCGAAGGTTGACTGGCTTTGCTGGCGGTGCTCGCCCACCGTGGCGGCCTGGAGGCGACCCGCACCCGCCAGGTTTGCCCGGGAGGCTGGCAGCTGGGGGGCTGCTGCTCTTCTCACGGCTGATTGGAGGTGGGGCTGACCCAGGGACTGAGCAGTGCACACAGCCGAGGCGGGGAGCCCCAAGTTCCACCGGGAATGGGACTACCCCAGAGGAGGACGTGGCCAAGCGGACTAAGAAAAGTTACAGGGCTAAGGGCCGATGTTTGATTTTTTAAATTAAAGGTAAAAGGAAGATGATGTTAGTTTCAGAGCTTCCTTTCTTTCCTTCCTTTCCTTTTCCTTCCTTCCTTCTCCAAGGATATGTTCATTAATTTGAGAGAGAGAGAGAGGAAAGAAGAGGAAGGGGGAGAGAAACATCAGTTGCCTCCCATATGCACCCAACAGGATGGAAGCGGCAACCTAGCTGTGTGCCCTGGACCAGAATCAAACCCGAACCCTTTTTGGTGTGTGGGAGGGTGCTCCAACCAAGGGAGCCACCTGGCTGGGCCAGAGTTTAACTTAGAAGTGTGTCCTGATTCTCCCTTATGAAAATGGAACCACCCCCTGTAAGGTATTGGAGAGGAAGGAGACTGTTAGCCTTTGTTTTTCATCTGGGAATAGTCTCTGTAGGCTGGGAAGAATTACAAAAGAACTGCACAGATTTCCCACATGTTCTGGGTATGTAGGTCCAGTCCCCTTGAGAGTACGACCTTGGGCTTTGGGGTCATCAGGTACCATCGTAAATTTAGCTCATTTAAGTGAGGCCCAGGCCTAAGCTGTTCCACTTGTAAAATGAGGTGATTTTTGATCTTGTAGGAGTCTAGGAATCTTGCTGTGGAATCTTCATTTTAGTTGAGAGTGGACCATTTTAAATTCAACCCAGGTCCAGGGATATCCCTAGAGCCAAAATGGGAGATGAGTTGTGAAATATATCTGACCCCTGCCCTGGAGTGGACAATATAATTGGGTCAAGATTTTCTAGGTACTACCAACTCCCAGGACTTATTCTGTCATTCTTTTCTTTCTTAAAAAATGGTTCTTTGGCCCTAACCAGTTTGGCTCAGTGGAGAGAGCGTCAGCCTGCAGACTGAAGGGTCCCAGGTTCGATTCCGGTCAAGGGCATGTACCTTGGTTTCGGGCACATCGCCAGTAGGAGGTGTGCAGGAGGCAGCTGATCAATGTTTCTCTCTCATCCATGTTTCTAACTCTCTGTCCCTCCTTTCCTCTTTGTAAAAAATCAATAAAATGTATTTTTTAAAAAATGGTTCTTTGGGGAGGTTCAAAATGAGGCATGCGTATTTGGGGTGGCCGTTTTTGAAGCAAATGGTCCTTGAAAGATTTCTTAATATGCCTGAAAAATATTCCTTAATTTTGTAGACATGGATTTAGATGCTATTACAAAACACTCAGCATTACATGCCAAGCCCAGTGGACTCATTCTTCAATATGGGACTGCTGGATTTCGAACAAAAGCGGAACATCTTGATCATGTCATGTTTCGCATGGGATTATTAGCTGTTCTACGGTCAAAACAGACAAAATCTACAATAGGAGTCATGGTAACAGCATCACACAATCCTGAGGTAATGCATTTAGTTCTCTGATCAAGCAAACCTTTATTTACAAGACCAAACCTTAATGTGTTGAGCAGTTTGATCTAGTGTTCAAATTCTAATTCTAGGAATGGGCCATCACGTCGTTTTGTGCCTTTGGATGTGAAATAGCTTTTTCTTACTGAGTGGTCATATGGCTCATGATTCATTAGTGGGTGTGGAGAGAATGAAATGAGTCTGTTATTTTTGGGGGAAGTGTCCACATTAGAGAAATAACAGAATGTCCTTCCAAATTACTTGCCACAGTATCAGTAATAAAAAATCTTACCTCTGTTAATTTAACAGAAATTAGATTAGAAGCAAGGTGGGGAAAGGGCAAACGTTTGCAAAGACTTAGTGCATTTTGAAAATTTTCAGACAGGTTTCTTTAATAGCTAGGGAATAGTTTCTTGTTCTGAAGAAACAGCCAAACAGGAGGCTCCAGGGATCCACAAGTGAGCTCCGGACAGAATGTTGATGAGGCTCATGGTGTTGGTGTTTATGACAAGTTTTTGTCAAAGGAGTGGAAGCCTGGTGTATGGATTCGTGCACATTGAAAGGAAATTAATTAGGAGATGGCACCTGGGGTGGTGCTGGGGCTCAGGGGGTGTCTGTGAAGTGAGCAGGGTTCCTCAGGCAGGTGGGGTCCCTGGGCCTGGCCTGCAGGGATTAGGCTAAAACCAGCAGTCTGACACCCCCTGAGGGTCCCAGAGTGGGAGATGGCACTCTGCAAAGTTGCTGTTGCTCTGCAGCTCCTGTGTTGAGCATCTGCCTCCCTGGTGGTCAGTGTGCATCATAGCTACCTGCGAGTCACAGCCTTTTATGAATCTAGATTCCTTTTGATACAACTAAACTTTTATTCTGTTGCTCACTAATACGGGTGAGGTAAAAACAGTTGTGTGTATGTGAAACACAATTTATTCTTGTATTATTATTTATTAGTTATTGTATTATTTCCCATATGAACAACTGTAGACCTACTTTTGCCCCACCATGTACATGATTTGAATAATATGCTTCTGTTTGGTTACTATGGCATGAGATTTTTGCCTTTGTAGCTAAATCAAAAGTAAGTTAAAGCTATGTAGGATTGTAACCTCTTCCCCCAAAACATGAGGACTTTGCTTGTCCAACTTCTAAATGTGCATTATTATAAATGCATGTCTAAATTTCTGTAATTTATGAATGATTTGTAGGCAGAACCTCATATTTATTGCATTTCTTAAAATAATTCTGAGCTGTTTCCTTCAGTTGACATTCACTCTAAATCAGCAATTGCCAACCTTTCAGACCTTACGGATCACTAGTGGTCTGTGGACCACCAGTTGGTGACCGCTGCTCTAAACTGTACTTTTTTTCCCCCAGAAATTTGAGCAGGACAGGATTAGGAGTCAGTTTTCAGCTTCTGTGCCACCCACTGGTTGACACACTGGCCAGGATGTGCTTAGAATCGAAAGTAATAGTGAGAAGGAGTTCTAGGCCCTCACTCTGCTCCAGCTGTGCCTTAGTTAACAGGTGGTTAAAGCACAGATGGCAGCCATTTAAAACTAGTGTAGTCTATTGGGTGAAAGAGTCAGATGGACTTAATGTTTTACTATCAGTACTGACACTTCTTGGCTGTATGAACATAAGCAAATAACTTGATCTGAATCTTTGTTTTGTCAGATTAGAATAATAATGGGATCATTAGTTTGTTGTGTGGGGTCATGAAGATCTACTGAGCTAATGAGTACAAGACACCTAGTCTAGGGCCTGGCATTCAGTCAGGGTCACTGGTGAAGCTCTCAGCCATCACTGCCTTTTGTTGGGAAAAAGCAGCTGGAGTTTACTTCCTCAGCTCACCCTTTTGAAGATGCACAGATGCTCATGTGCTATACAAATAGTTGAAGGTTAATAACTAAGACTTTTTACATTCTTAACTAAACATCATTATTCATTACCCACTTTATTGAATATATGCTGTGGCTCTTCCCTTATGTTTGAGATACTAACAGGTGAAAGAGTACATGGTTGTTTATAAATAAAAAGTTTTTGCCATAAAAAAAAAAAAAGATGCACAGATGGCTTATCAATTGTTTTTCTTTTAAGGAAGACAATGGTGTCAAATTGGTTGATCCTTTGGGTGAAATGCTGGCACCTTCCTGGGAGGAACATGCTACCTGTTTGGCAAATGCTGAGGAGCAAGATGTGCAGAGAGTGCTGCTGGACATCAGCGAGAAAGCTGCCGTGGATCTGCAGCAAGACGCCTGCGTTGTGATTGGTAGAGATACCAGGTGACCATCGAGTTAGTGGTGCAAGCAGCTTTGGGAACTCAGTATAAGTGATTGTAACAGTTTTGGTACCATGATAAATGGAAGAAAACAGAACTGCCCCAGGAGGCCTCTCCCCTACCTGGTCTTTTTAGGAGACACAGGGACTAAGTCAGCACTACAGCTTGGGTTTTGGAGTCGGAACACCAACTCCAACACTTACTATCCACTTTAACCTTTTGGAGCTTCCCTTTGCTCATCTATAAAATGTTGATGATAAGGCCTACCACAGGGTTTTTGTGAGGATTACATGAAATAATTTACGCAAAATAATACATTTCCTGGCACAAGAGAATTAACAAATGTCTCCCCCCTGTACTTCTAGGTTTACTTTTTCCCCTGTAGAGTAAGAACACATGATTTTAACTCATTATTTTTAGAGATATATTTTATAATCCCATGTTGTTGGCCTATATATTTATATTATTTTCCCATGCTGGAGTTCACTGTAAAATATTGTTTACTTCTACAAATTTGTCATATTTGGCAGCTTTTACCTTCCTTTACAAAAAGATTTTTTTGTAAAATGTTAGATTAAAAAGTGTGCTTTGAAACAAGCATTCACATTTATATAAGATTTGATTTAAGCCAGAGATGCTTTCTAAAGGAAATTTTTACTCCATTTCTTATTGCTTTGCACTAGTGTTTTACCCTTAAATGTGTGATCAGAGGGACTTCCATCTGTCACTGATTCCATGACCACTGTATGTATGGGTAGCAGAACTAGCCAGGTGACTTATGTTCTGAAGCAAATGATCTCACAATAAAGCCATCCACATGTGTTTGCCTCTTGCCCATTAACTAGTTAAAATGATACAGAACATCTTTTTCTGCAAGGCAGTTATATAATATATATTGCTTTATTTTCAGATAGGAAGATAATTTTTTCTTATGTTTTAAAATGAAAAGTGAGTTGTATTTCCTTGATACTTTAATACCCAATGCTGCAGTATTAGTTACTGCTCTTAGGCAGTGTGTGTAGTTATTGTCAAACTTGACAAGGTATTTGGGTATGGTGTAATTAGTGCATCCTTTATATCTATTTTCTAAATTCATTTAAAAGCCAGTATCTTTCCAAGAAATAACATTGTAAAAGACTTCTCATACTCTACCCAAATTATATTTTTCAGAGTTTTCATACTTGACAGGTTTTAGTTCAAATATAATGACCTTATTATTCTGATATTTGTAGCACATAATTTCAGCATTAGCTTTCAGAACTAGCCACCTACCTGTTGGTTTCTGGATGGGAGGTACTATTTTTCCTCTTTTGTCTCCTAGGCCCAGCAGTGAGAAACTTTCACAGTCTGTAATAGATGGCATCACTGTTTCAGGAGGTCAATTCCATGGTAAGTAGTTATCTTAAGTTGTAAATTAATATTTAAAAAACATTTTAAACAATGATAAAAGTAATACATGTTTATTTTAGAAAGGTTTGAAAGTACAGATAAACAAAGTTTTTTAAAAATGAACCTCAGGATAAAAATACTAGTCTTTAAAATTAAAAAAAAAATTTTTCTGGGCATGCATATTTTATTTTATGTATACATTACATGTAGGAAGCATCTTAAACAGCTGTCTTTAGTAAGGCTGAACTCCTAGAAGTTACTTGAAGTCTATCCTAGGGAGTTTTTGTCAATATCAGGTATTCATTCCCTAATGGCTGATCACGTGTGGAATCAGCTGTTGTCTGTCATGTAGGTATGGAAAGTATCTTTGGTCTACTTGTAATCATGATTTTAAGTTTTGACAAGTGGTTTGGCGTTTTCCCCCCCTATTTTTAACAAATGAGGAAGTATTAAATGCAACAAAATGGAGGCTAGAATCCTCTTCTTATATAGGTTGGGCCCCTTGTGAATTCAATGAACCCATTGTGCTTGGAGGTGAATTTTCCTAGTGTTAGATTGTTCTCATTTAAAAATTTCTTCTCTTCACCTTTTCAGCCTCCTTTCCAGATCCTGTGTCTTCCCTTCCTTCACAGATAACCTGGCTTCTTCCAGTAGTACACCTAGCTCACTTCTCTCTTTGCTCTTCTAGTCGTTACTTTGCCTACTACAGGCCAGTCTCCATCCTTGCCCCTCCAGTGAAAGGCCTCCTGACACTTACCTGAATTCTAATTGTCAAATCCAGTGGGTGTTATAAAAGTGGGGATTTTTAACCTGGGCCCGGGACCTGCAGGGGGTGGTGGTGGTTAAGCTGCCCACACCCTGCGTCCCTGTTAATATAGTATGCAGAGTGTTGCCTGCACACACACTTAGTTTCTGGGGAGAGGACTCATAGCTTTTGTGAGATACTCAAAGGGATCTGCAACCTAAAAATAACTTAGAATTTATGTTTTGAAATTTTTATTTCAGTCTATGTCTTGGCAGCTGTCCATAATTTGGCCTCCCTCTTTCTTTAAGCTTCCACTTCCTTGGCGACTGTTCCTTGTTGGTCTTCTCTGTGTGCTCCTCTACCCTCTCTCTTAATGTGGCCATACTTCGCTTCTCTCTGTCACTCTGCCTGAGTGGTCATCTTTACCGCCATAGCTCCAGCTACGTATATTCTTTTATTTACTCATTTATTTATTCATCAAACATTTCTGAATGCCTGTTTTTACAACCTTTCAATAGTCTATATTTCACTATTTCAACCCATAGTAAGAAACCCATTTGGTATCATGATGTGTGTATGTGTGCTTGTCTGTATAGCTGAGATAAAAGTTTCCATACATACTACTTACCCATACTACACGATGTGCATTCATCTATTGCTTTAGAAAATGCAGACATGCAGTGGCTCAGCCTGCAGTGTGCAATGCGTTGGTCTGAATGACGCCCCATCAGGTGGCTGCCCCTGCTTTACATTCACTCTGCCCAAAACTGTGTTCTTCCTAGAATGGCTGTTTTCAACATTTTGATTCTATCTCTAGAAGCATCACTTTTTTACTGTTTTATTTTAGAAAAAATTGAGGTTTATTTATTTTTTTTAACCTTTCCTTCATTTCTCTCCAGCTTCAGTGTATTTCAGGAAACAAAAGATTAATGCAGCTACAGCACAAGGAGCTTTGGGGGAAGCTACTGGAAGATAAGATTAGGGAGGTGAGCAGGGGCCAAGTCATTCCAAGCCTTAGAGGTCATGGTAAAGATTTGGGTTTTAGTCCAGATGCAGTGGGTCTCCACCAAAGGATTTTAAGGCAGTCACTCTGGCTCTTGTGTAGCGAGAGATAGGAAAGTTGTAAGAAAGGAAAAGAGACCAGTGAGGAAACTGCAGAAGTTTGTGCAAGAGTAATGATATCAAGAGAAATGGAGGAACTTGAAATTAATATTTAATCCAAAGGATTTTGTGATGTGATGAGGATAGAGCTGTGAAGAATAGTTTCTATGTTTTTGGGTTGATCAGTGGAATAGAGGTGTTATGCTTTTTATTAACTGTAAAAAGTCATTTAGTGAATGTTTATTTGGTAATTTTGATATTGGTCATAAAATTTGTTTCATCCTTTAGTATGCCTTTTGGAATAGTTTTTCTCTTCCTTATGCAGTTCTCCTCCTTAGACTTAAGCTTTTACTTATTTTGGGGGTTTCTCCAGCTCCTCTCATCTAATCCTTATACCACAGCCAAGAACTTAAATGACTTTTCACCTTCAGTGCAAACTCTAGTGCATGACTTTGAAGACTGTTGACAGATTTCATGAATGAATATTTATTGGATACTGGCCTATCCCTGCTATCTATTTCTCCTGTTCCTTGCTCATGTTGCCTTTTTTTGTGTGTTTAGATTTTTTACTATAAGCTATTTGTTTTTTTGAAAAACAAATTATTTGTGGGACATTTTTGAGGTTTATGGTGAACGCAGAGTTTAATGTTTGCTTCTGCTGGGAGTACTACCTGGCTGGTTGATGACATGGTTCTTTGATGACAAGGTTCTTTTAGATCCATGTGGTTATGGGAATTTGGGTTGGAAATCCATGGGAGGTATGTGATTGTGGTTATGTTCTTTAGCTGTGGGTTTTCCCTCTGCTGTGCTGAGTTCTAAGACAGCTTTTCTGGGAGGGGACTTTTGACTTATTTTTTTTTACTCCTCACCCGAGGAGAAGTTTATTGATTTGAGACAGAGAAACATTGATTGGCTGCCTCCAGTAGCCACCCTGACCAGAGTTCTAACCCACAACCTAGGTACGTGCCCCAACTGGGAATCAAACCTGCCACCTTTCTGGTGTACAGGATGACACTCCAACCAACTGAGCCACCCAGCTGGGTCTTGACTCACGTTTGTTTTTATTTTTTTATTTGTTGTTGAAAGTATTACATATGCCCCGCCATTGTCCTCTCCCAGCCCCCTGCATTGTCTGTGTCCATTGGTTATGCCTCTATGCATACAAGTTCCTTGGTTGATCTCTTCCCCTCCATGACTCACTTTTGCCCTGAAGAATAGTCCTCTGGGGCCTCAGCTTTATGAGGGCCTGGCCTTCTACTGGGTTCCCCCTTTTAGAACAACATGGACTTTTTTGCACTGAAAACCATAGCTCAATTTCAAGTTTCGAGGAATGTCCAGAGAATAAAACTAGTTTCCTTGGCTCTAATTGTGGAGTTCTTCTGTTTAAATAGATTTTGGCCTACTTCCTCTACAACTTGTTGGTACTGCAGTTACTTCTAAAAAGAAATTTTTAATCTAGCATTTCTGGTTGTTTGTAGGAGTGTTCATCTGAATTATGTAGTTTGTAATGTTACTGGAAATATAACTCAATTACAACTTTTCTGTACTGCTCTGTTTTTTTATTTGTCTATACTGAGTGATTTTGTTATCAGTAGTTCATATTTCTTTTAGAATTGAGTTTGGGTTCAAAGTGTATTTTTTTTATAACCACCAAACAGTTAACTGAATTTTGACACTACCTACCTGGAGGTAGTGCTTAATCCTACCCCAGTCCCTTAAGACTGCCATCCCCACACCTCCTTCAGTCGTCTGGGCTTCTGACCAATCTGGAGCCTCCTTGGGTTGGGTTAATTTGCTAAAGCAGCTCACAGAACTCAGAGAAGCATTTTACTGACTAGGTTATTAGTTCATTATAAAGGATTTAACTCAGGGACAGCTAGGTTAAAGAGATGCGTAGTGAAAGGTGTGTGGGGCGGGATTCAGAGCTTCCATGCTCTCTGAGCATCCCAGTCTCCACATGTTCACCAACTGGAACGTTAACCTTTTGGTCTTTTGAGTTCTTATGGCGGCTTCATTACATTGGTATGAATGATTAAATCATTGGCCATTGGTGACTGAACCCAATCTCTAGCTTCTCCAGCCTTCCTCTCTGAAGTTGGGGGTGGGGGAAGGGGCTGAAGGTAGCAACCCTCTAATCATGTGAAATCAGCCTCCACGCTTAGGTTACCTAGGGGCTTTCCAAATGTCACCTTTTTTTTTTTTTAAATCCTTACACAAAGATATCCTTTCAATTGCTTTTTTAGAGAGCATGGAAGGGAGGGAGTGGGGAGAGAGAGGGAAAGAAGCATCAATGTGAGAGAGACATATCAATTGGTTGCCTCCCACACAAGCCCCAACCATGCCTGGAATTGAACCTGCAACCAAGGTGCTTGCCCTTTACCTGGAATTGAACCTATGACTCTTCTGTGCATGAGCCAGAGCTCTAACCACTTGACACACCGGCCAGGGCCCAAATACCACTTCTTTAAGGTAATAAAAGACATCATATTGCTCTCTTTAAGAAATCCCAAGGGTTTAGAAGCTCTGTCAGGAATGGGGACAAAGACCAAATACATATTTCTTACTATAAATTACAATGTGACATGCACTTGTATTGATTTTAGTGGATATTTTTGCTTTTTAAAATTTAGCATTTTGTGTTTTCTGAACTGTATTTTATCACCTTCAGTTCCTTCAGTATGAATCCATTTAAACTTTTCTTTATTAAGAAATGTGCTACATTGCTTTCTTTCCTTCTGTGACAGATTATGGCTTGCTGACAACGCCGCAGCTGCACTACATGGTGTACTGCCGGAATACCCAGGGCCAGTATGGAAAGGCAACCACAGAAGGCTACTACCAGAAGCTCTCCAAGGCCTTTGTGGAGCTTACCAAACAGGTGAAAACTTGAATGTTAATTACATAGTTTGTTACTTCTCCTCTTTCCAAAAATTCGGCATATCATTTTCTTTCCAGGACTACACAAATTCTGGTCCTTATATCCTAACTGTGTGTTGGCATTTACTTGGCAAGGCATGTAACATCCTTAAATCACTGGGGGAACAAACATGGTGGTTTTCTTGTGGTTATAAGTATTCATTCAGATGAGTTTACTCTTTTTTAAAAATACATTTTTATTGATTTTTTACAGAGAGGAAGGGGAAGGGATAGAGAGTTAGAAACATCGATGAGAGAGAAACATCGATCAGCTGCCTCCTGCACACACCCCACGGGGGATGTGCCCGCAACCAAGGTACATGCCCTCGACCGGAATTGAACCTGGGACCCTTCAGTCTGCAGGTCGACGCTCTATCCACTGAGCAAAACCGGCCAGGGCGAGTTTACTCTTAAGTAGGTGCTATTGATATCACACTTGAGGCATCTTACTGTTGAGATTTTCTTGTTAAGGGAATTGGCATGTTAAACCTGGATGAGATTTGAGGAGCTTAATTCATTTGATCAATAAATATTGAGTGTATGTTATTGTCAGGCACAGCAAACCAAAACAAAGCCCTTGCTCTCATAGAATTTATATTCTGGGATGAGGATGGGTAGGAGACTGTCAATTAGAAAAAAAACAAAAATGCCCCATGGTGTTATATACTATGAAGAGAATGAGAGATGTTTTACTGCTCATTCCCACCTTTGAAAGACTGTCATGTGACATAGACTATATTATTTTTAAGGACCCTGCTTTATTGAGGCTAAATCTAAGAAAGCTTGACAAAAAAAAAAAAAAATGAGATGGCCTAATTAAATTACAGTACCCAGAGAGAAAGAAACAGCGGTTCACCTGTTAACAGCTGTGGACCAGCTAACAAGAGACTGCTCACATTAGCAGGTGTCTTTTGGAACTTCAGATTAATTTCCAGGTGCTATGCCTGCAATTGTTCTAAAGAGAGTATAGCCAGGCATTTTTGAACCCAGGAGCCTCTGCCTCTTATTTAACATGAACTTCCCACTTGCCCATAACCTATCCAAGGGAGCAAACACTTCTGACTTGGACTCTGTGCCTACCCAGAACTGGCCCGCTTCACTTCTCCCATCCCTTTGTCTATAGCTAATGTAAATCCCTGTAACCACTCACATCGATCTCCCCCGTTAGTGATGTATAAAGACACTTGCGCAACTCTGGGACGACGGTGTCACGTCTGTCTTTTCTATCGGGCTATGCTGCTGGGGTTTTAGACTCTAACCCCAAGAGCAGTCCTTTTTTTTCTAGCAATGACTTTTAAAAAAGACTTTCAGCTGTGAAAGTAAATTTTTGGTTTAACAAACTCCATTTCCGTAAGTCATTCAATCATTGAAACTGTTGCTGTGTCAGTGTTCAAAAAAGGGTATTTTAAAATTTTATTTTGATGTTTTATGATTTTCATCTGAATATGTGTGCCCTTTTGTTTCTTGATTTAAAATAGATGAATTGAAATAATGGAAGATGTTTACATCTGGGTATGCATGCCTTATGATTCACTCTTACCTTTAGAACTTGAGATTTTCCTCCCTGTGTCTTTCCTTTAAGGCTTTCTGCAGTGGTGACGAATGCCTGTTACTTAAGGTTGACTGTGCAAATGGCATAGGGGCCCTGAAGCTGAGAGAAATGAAAAACTACTTCTCCCGGGGGCTGTCAATTCAGTTGTTTAACGTTGGGACTACCGGGAAACTCAATCATTTATGTGGGGCTGACTTTGTGAAAAGTCATCAGAAACCTCCACAAGGTATGTAAAAAATTTGTTTTTGGAGTTTTGAAACCAATCTCATTTACAAACAGAAGTGGCCAAATGAGGAGCCATGCATTTGGGTTTTGTGTCACTTGTAGACATCTGGGCACCTTCCTACTCATCAGTGCCATTCCGAACATGGACTCTGCCTGTGGGTCACAGGACTCCTCACAGCGTGTGGAGTGGGAAAGCAAACTCAGAAATTGGTAATCTGGAGAGCTTGTTCACAGACTGAGTCCTGGGCTCTCCCGCAGAATTTCTGAGTCTGTAGGTCTGGATCGGTTTTGTAGAGTACAGGATTTTGCATTTCTATGAAGAGCCCAGGGCTTTTTGATGATGCTGGTCTGAGGACCACACTTTGAGAATCACTGATCTAAAGAATAGCAATTGGTAAGTAGCATAATTTTTCTTCTTATTGAATTAGACACACTGTGGAAAGAGAATGCGCCTGCTGAATTATGTGTTTCCAGAATCAGTGTTTTCCACAGTGGGCATGTTAGGGGGGAGACTGTTCTTCAGATTGTAGTTATAGTCAGGTTTCTATATTTAGCTGCATTATTGATTCAAAATTGTTAGCCTGGTTTGCAAATGTATTTTGTTTGATCTGTGTGTCTGTGTTTAATTGCATTAGTTGCCACCATTTATTTTTATTAATTTTTGTTCATTGATTTTAGAGAGACATCGATTTGTTGTTCCCCTAATTTTGCATTCATTGGTTGATTCTTGTGTCTTGACTGGGGATTGAACCCTCAACCTTGATGTATTGAGATGACGCTTTAACCAACTGAGCTACCTGGCTAGGGCCATTTTTAAAATGCTTCGATTTCACTTAAATATTGGAATCTGGCTTCTCTTTACCTCATGTCACGTGGACTGGCTGCAGTAGAGTGGCTCCATACTAAGACAGGACTGCATTCTTCAGAATTCTACAGACCTTGTCTAGTGGCTTCTCATATTAACGTTACTTTATGCCTTACTATAGTAAGCATTTAAATTTCCAGTTTAACCAACTTAAGCTCCCTTTCATTGGTTGCTAGTTTTGACTACTACTTTACCTGCAGCTCAGTTCTCAGGCCCTGATCTATCCATTCACTAAATCGTGAGCTTTTTATCTTGCTGTAGGCACTGGGGCTATAGTATGAACAAACCATAGGCCCTGACTTTCATGGAGCTTGTGTTGAACCCTGTAGTCAATCTTAAATTCATATTCACTGCCTACTTGCTTCATGTTGCATTGGCAATATGTTGACATCCTTATATCTAATAAATTTGTAACAGTTGCTGAGGTTTCAATAATTTTATGCAAATTACAGAAACCATTTAGCTCTCATGGGCTATAATTGTTTTGTTTTTTTAAATATATTTTTATTGATTTAAGAGAGGGAGAGGGAGAGATGGAAACATCGGCTTCCTGTTATTGATGGTGTGAACAATAAAAATCATTCCTATCTGAATTAAAGCACATACCTCATCTATTGCTGATTTTTTTTAATATGTGAAGGACATAGTAGGACTAGATAAATTGCATTCAGGAATACCTGTAGCTTTTAAACAACTATATGGGAACCTATGTTGCCAAATCAACTGGCTTATAAAGTGGAATATTATTTTAGCATAATGTCAAGTTCAGTATAGAGTTTGAATGCTTCTTTTTCAGTTAGCTGTGAAAGAATTTACCCTGTAAAAACTACCAATAAGCCTGCATACTGTTTGAAGATTAAGACACTGGTTTTTATTTGGAAGGATAATTTTATTTCTTGAATAATCATAGTGGACATGTTTACATGTAACACATAAGACCAGTTGTGATCATACTTTAGTGAAAAAATTTCCATCTACAACTAGAATAAGAAAAAACCCTAAAACTTTTAATATTGAGTTGTATTCCTGTTTTTTAGACTGAAATGCATTTTTAATTATTCTGTGTACTAGGAATAGAAATGAAACCCAATGAAAGATGCTGTTCCTTTGATGGAGATGCAGACAGAATTATTTATTACTACTATGATGCAGATGGCCACTTTCATCTCATTGATGGAGACAAGATAGCAACACTCATTAGTAGTTTCCTTAAAGAGCTCCTGTTGGAGGTATGGCAGGGAGTGATTGACTACCCTTTAAAACTAGGCTTATTGGTGAAATAGTTCTTTAGCCTCTATAGCAGTCAGTTGAATATCTCACGGGAAGTTCCTTACATGTGTGGCTGGAAAATACAAAAAGATATGGTTATTCTAGACATTTCAACTTTGGAGAACTGGTTTTGGAATCCGAAGTTACTCTTTGCTTCCTTATATAGGCAAAGTTTTATGATTTGAAGCTTTATGAAGTTTTGAATTCTTCATAGCTGACACTTTAATAATGGGAGTTCCACCATAAATCCCCAAAGCTTCAAGCTTAAATAGGAAATCTCATCCTCAGAGATTTGTTTTGATCTTTTGGAAATCTCTGGCTAGCCTGATAGGATAAATGGGAAGTAATTATTATGATCTGGAAAAAATATACTTCAAGAATTCAATAAATACCTTTGTTTAAAAAATTAAAGAGATACAGATCAAGAAACCACATGTTTCTTTATAAAAGATTCCTTGTAGAATTGTTTTAAATAATGCCCAGAAGTATTTTAGCTTTTTTTCTGGCCTATATGTAAATTTTGATTGAGTCATTTATTTAATGCATAAAATAAGGCACAGCTGAATTTATTGATCACTTTGTCATCCTTTAGAACGTACGTTTGCTTTGGAGTGTTTTTGCTTTAGATGCATGGTCATTTCATTGTTTTTGCCTAGATTGGAGAAAGTCTGAATATTGGCGTTGTACAAACTGCATATGCAAATGGAAGTTCAACACGGTATCTTGAAGAAGTTATGAAGGTACTGAACCATTTCTATTTTCTGGTGGTTTCTTAATTATATTTTACTAGAGGCCTGTTGCACGAAGAGATTCGTGCAATAGGCCTTCCTTCCCCTGGCTGCTGGCACCAGTTTTCCTCTGGCACCCAGGACCCAACCCTTTGGTCTGGCCGCAGGGAGGCTTGGCTTCTCCCCTCCAGCTGCAACAGTCTTCACTCTGGCCGGAGCCTTCAGTCTTCCCGCTGTGCCTGCATATGCAAATTAGCCACCATCTTTGTTAGGTTAATTTGCATAGTCACTCTGATTGGCTGGTGGGCATAGCGGAGTGACAGCAATTTGCATGTTTCTCTTTTATTAGTGTAGACTGTAAGATATTTCTGTGTGGAAAATAATACCCTCATAAAAGTGAATAGCTTGTAGTGCATGAAGCCGAGTCTTTGTTCATGTAAGGCTAACTAGAAATTAAAAGAAAAAATTAAATTGTTCCTGATGTAAAAGAGGGACTTTGTCTTTGCAGCCTTTTAGCAGATTGACTGTGATGTGTATCACTAGGCCGGCTTAATGCTTATTCAGTAATAAAACTGTCTTCTTACTCTACTGTGGAGAAGTTTTGGGGGTTGATAGATTCTGTTTCTAATTATTTCCCCAATGTCTACCAGATGACCACCATCTGTATGACACTGCTCTAAGTGTTAGAAGTTCATGGCCAAAATTGGGTCTCTTTGCCTTGACTCTTTTTCTCACTAGCTACTGCAGTCTTTTTTAACTTTTGTGTATCCCTTTATAAGTTCCTGCATTTTGCTATTTTTTGTCTTGCCACTCGTTTTAAAGTAGGGATGGTGAAGCCAGGTTCCTGTAGGATCTGGACAGCTGAAGTGAATGAGTACAGTGGGCAGGTGAGGACTAGGAAGAGTGTGCCCAAGCCACCTGTGAGGAGCTGAAACAGAAATTTTCATGTAAATTTCTGACTTTTTAAGTCTTGGCAACTGATATAAATTTTAAGAAAAATAGTGAACAGGCACAATAAAACTCATCTGGAGGCTGGAGTTTGTGATCTGATTGATTTCAGGGTGGGGCAAAAGTGGTTTACAGTAGAGTTACTCGAGGGACTTCCATCAGGGGCCCAATTGCCTACTTTTCACAGGATTTTCAGTATTCAGGTGGTTGTTTTACTGTTTTAATTCCTATGTTCTGTCTTAAAAATCCCTTATAGGTAAGATACCATTTAAGAAACTGAATACATCAGAAACTGTTACTTTTCAACCATTTTCTAATCAGTTAACCCTTTTCGGTCCAACCTCGAGGCTGACTCGACAGACCAGGCGCTAGGAGCAGGTCCAATGTCGAGCAATAACATTAACAAGTTCAACATTCAATCCCGTCAATTAATTTGGACCAGACTGAATTCCAAAAATAACATTGGACCGCAAAGGGTTAAATACTTTTAGCTCTAATGATTCTTGAGGCTTCCTAAATCCAATCAAATGTCCATCTTATTTGGTCTTTTTGTAGTTTTGCACTATCAAGACTTTGACGACTGTTGCCAGTCCAAACACCATAATTTCCTACTGGGATTAATCCTAGAAAACTCCTAATGGCCCCTTCTTAAACTGGGAAATCCAGCCTGCTTATAAAGGTTTATTGGAATACAGCCATGCTAATTTGTTTTTGTATTGTCTGTGGCTGCTTTCACAGATAATGAGAGTTGAGCAATTGTAACAGACAATGTGGTTGCAAAGCTTAGAATTGGCCTTTTATAATAAAAGCTTGTAAACCTCTACTCTAAGCCACTGTTCATCCTGTAGCTAAATTGAGCTTTCTGTACCAGATCATGTCACTCCTCCATCCTCATCTCTCTCGCCTTGCTTTTCCCTTGTTTTTGTGCTTCTAAGTGCCTTCTCTTATCACTTTGGTTTCATTTGCTTTGTCTTCCTCACTAGATTAAGCCCCAGGTGTTGCTCCCTATTGTATCCTTGAATAGTAGGTACACAATGCATTTGCTGATTGAATAATTGCTGTTAATTATTTTTTTAAATGTGTTATAGGTCCCAGTCTATTGTACTAAAACTGGTGTAAAACATTTGCATCATAAGGCTCAGGAGTTTGATATTGGAATTTATTTTGAAGCAAATGGGCATGGCACAGTAAGTTCTCTTAAACAATTACAACTTTAGCTGGCACTTTTAATGATGGGGATTCTATATCTGGTTAGTAATAGGTGCTATTCTACTTTGTTGAAATTATTGGGATGGTAGTAGAATTTGATCTGGTTGATCTTCCTTTGAGAGTGAAGAAATAATGCTAATTTGTTCTTACAGTATAGTTACTTATAAGAATGCACATCTCAATTTTTTTTAATAAGCTGGTTGTCTATACATCATTTAAAAATACTCTGTTCAACTGGCCATAGGTGGTAAAAAGTATAGTAGGTGTGGTAAATTGAAAAGTGTTGGATAGCTTGAGAATTAAGTTATAAACAACTGGAAATGTATTAGCAGTAAGCATACACTTTTTTTATGGTGCTCTTAGCAGACAATGTTTTTAAAAGTTTTTTGAAATATAACTCACCTGCCATAAAATACACAATTTTGGTGTGTAAAAATGGTTTTTAGTATATTCATAAAGTACATAATTTTTCTTTAGATGTTTTAATACTTTACCTCATTTCATAGATTTGAGGTGCCCAACACAAAAACTTATCTAGGTCAAATAATTTTCCTCATGAATTTCAAAATTGGCTTCTAGAGGCAATGAATGAAAGTAGAAGTAAAATAAGTTCTTAGAAAATACAACTAAAAGATAACTTCAGTGATCTAATGCAGAGGTTGGTGAATGAATATAAAGGATAGATAGTAAATATTTTAGGCTTTGGGACTATAATGTCTGTTACAACTGGTCAGGCCTGCTGGTGTGCGGTAAATGAATGTGTGTGGCTATATTCTAGTCAAACAAGTGACCAGCTGCACCTTAGTTTACCAACAAATAAGTATTTTAGCAAGTGGCTGAGTATGGTATGCAGTTCCTCCTCAGTGGCAGGCATCTTGAAGGCACTAAAATCATGGGAAAGCCATTTCAGAATGACAGAAATCTTGAGGAACGTGATGTATGTTATAACAAATAGTTTGGCACTATTTGCCACAATATGATATAGGTGAGTGGAGTGCGCTTTCTACTTCTGGCTGGCTTACAGTCTTAATTTTAGGACAAAAAGATACTAGTTGCAATGAATTATGTACTTCAGGTAAAATGATACAGATCCACCTAAGAAACCTGGTTGCACAGAGCTGATTAAACGGCTGAGGGACAAACATAATGAATCCATGTATGTTATCACCTTTGCCAAGGTGGTATTTTGTCATCAGCTCTTTAAATGTTAATAACCAGTTTTATAATCCACAAAGGACCTTTTTTCTCCTTAGTAATATCTTTTGGGTTTTGCTTTGATCTTAATTTCATACATTGTAAGGCTGCCATTATTTTTCCCCTTAGTTTCTCCAGATTCATTGAGAATTTCAAAAGTGGTTTAGCATGATAGTACTTACGACTGGGCCTGGGGTAGTTTTGTGATTGTGTACGCTCTCATTACAGGTGTTGTTTAGTAAAACTGCTGAAATGAAGATAAAACAGCTAGCAGAAGAATTAGAAGATAAGAAAAGGAAAGCTGCTAAGATGCTTGAAAACATTATTGATTTGTTTAACCAGGTTAGAACTGATGGGCTGGTGGGGTCTTGGTTACTTTCACATTATTCATAAAGAAGGTGGACAGAATAGTGGGCTTATATAAAAAATTAAAGTGGTGAAGTCCTGCAAGCTTTCTCACAACCATGGCACATACAGTGTAAAATGACAATGACAGAACATTAAAGTGCTTCCCTTGCCCTACATTTTTTGATGAAAAATTTCATTAGATTCAGCCTCTGAGTATATATATATGACTAAATATGTTTTTTTAAACCTATTTTCTTAAAACTCAGGAAGAACAATCAGTTGTCTCCTGGTATAGACTGGGTAGAATTGGAGTGTAACTAATGGCAGTGGAAGTAACATTTGAGCATCTTGCACATTTGGGCACTTTACATACCATATTGTGTAAACCTTGCTGTAACATAGAAGGGTTATTGTAATTGTCATTTTATATATGAAGAAACAAAGGCTTAGAGCTAATAAGTGGCAGAACATGGCTTCAACTTCAGATATGTCTTACACCAAAGCTTCTATTTCTCCAAGACTTTGCATGATGCCTTCCATCACGGCATATCTCAAAAGGGATCTAGTTACAAAGAAAAATTTGAATTATAGAATGTTAATGCTGGAATCTTAAGATTATGTAATTTCATTTTATAGCTAAGGAGGAAGATTAAAGGCAAGTTTTTCAAGAGCTAGTTTTTTCCCCTCATTAATATTTAATTTCTCTACACCAGTTAATGTTGCTGCATAGGGGGAGGAGCAGGAAGCACAGGAAACTTAGTTTTCTAAGACACATTCACATCTAATCTTTCCTTGTAGTTGAATGGTTCCTTCCATTGTCTCCCATCTTGCAGGCAGCCGGTGATGCTATTTCTGACATGCTGGTGATCGAGGCAATCTTGGCTCTGAAAGGGCTGACTATACAGCAGTGGGATGCTCTCTATACGGATCTCCCAAACCGACAGCTCAAAGTTAAGGTGCGAGCAAGATTTTAAAATTCTTTTTTAAAAATTAAAACCTATTATTTCAAATCTCACTATATAAAAATGTTTCCCAAGTGTTTCGTATTTCATTCTAAACATAAATATTACATGGAAAATAATGCCTTATATCATCTATTTTTTCATATCTTTAAAGATTACAGACTAATTCTTAGCCATTCTATTCTTTGATAAGTATTTGGTTTCCAAATCTATTATAACTATATATCACTGAAAAATTATGGAAAACTTATAGAGAGAACAAAATAATGAACCCCTGTATACCCAGTTTCAGTAGATTTTAAGTTGTTCCCTCTACATTCTCCACATTCCCATATTATTTTGAAGCACATCCTGGATAGCCTATCATTTCAAGTAAAAATAGTTCCTCAGGCTAGATGCTGAGTAGAATCTGGGCTCAAAGGGAGAGAATTTTTAAAAGGCATTTAAGATAAACGGCTAATTGATTTCCATGTAGATTTATACCAGTTTACACATTCACCACCAGAGTTCACAGAAATTGCGGCTGATTGTTCAAATTAGTTTGGAGCACTGTGACTAGGAGATTCTCATGATCCTCTTTCATAATAGATGATTTTTTAAAAAGCTAATTTGATCAGTGACTTAAGTCATACAGTATTTACTGGCCGTTATTTTAGTGGTAGTTAGCTGTAAGACAGTATGTGGAAATATTTTTTTTTTGCTAAAGGTAGTTCTTTGTAGACAGAAGAAACTAAGAAAAGTAAGTAAGCTGTAAGACAGTATGTGGAAATATTTTTTTTTGCTAAAGGTAGTTCTTTGTAGACTGAAGAAACTAAGAAAAGTATCAACAACCCTGCTTTTGGCAGAAATAATTATAAAATTTTAATGTAATTGCATTGTATGCTTAATTTGATACTTTACTTTCTGTGCTGTACTTCGTGTACAAGAAGCTGAAATGTAGCGCTGTTATTGTTAAATTGAAATGGGGATGAAATTATAATAACAAGCATGAAATGCTTGTGCATAGGTTGCAGACAGGCAAGTTATTAGCACCACAGATGCTGAAAGGAAAGCAGTCACACCCTCAGGACTACAGGAGGCAATCGACAACCTGGTGAAGAAGTACAAGCTTTCCCGAGCTTTCGTCCGGCCCTCTGGTACAGAAGATATAGTCCGAGTATACGCAGAAGCAGACTCACAAGTAAGCTGATACAGTTCTACTGAAAAAATGTGCAGTGGGAATCCAATAATAACATAGGTAGCGGAGGGTGGTAGTAGGAGGTGAAAACTATTTTAATAGTGTTGCAATCTCGCTGTGATAATTAAGGATTTAATGTCTGATATTTGTTTATGGAGCCTTTTAGGTTCATATTAAGATTACAAAATTATTTTCATCAGTGGTTGTTACATAGTTGAACAAAATTATACCCACTTAGATTCTTTCCCCGAATATTTTTCTTTTGATTTATTCTATATTTCCTAAAAGCCATATTTATAATTGTGGCATGAATAACTAATTTGTCAAGCTAAGGTACTTAGCTTGACAAATGTTGAACTATTTTCTGTTTTATTTTTCCTATGAAAACAATCAGGGTTGAGGTCCATTTCTGAAATTCATGTTTGACTCTGGACTCTCAATTTGTTTTTTGAAGTATTTCCTTTAAATGACAGGCTTGTTCTGTGCTTTTGCTGTTTTTGTGATAGGGTCAAATCTTTGTGATTGGATATTAAAATTTGCCCTCTCACACATCGTTTTCTGTAACTATAAATCCTTGATAAAAAATTTGCACAGTGGAGGCAAAATAATCTATTGAATAGGGGCTCAGAAGGAGACATTTTCCATTAATGTATACATTAGCTGGCAGCTTTTCTGCAGAAGCCTTAGGCCAGGGGTCCTCAAACATTTTAAACAGGGGGCCAGTTCACTGTCCCTCAGACCGTTGGAGGGCCGGACTATAGTTTAAAAAAAAAAAACTATGAACAAATTCCTATGCACACTGCACATATCTTATTTTGAAGTAAAAAAACAAAACGGGAACAAATACAGTATTTATATTTGCATGTGGCCCGCAGTTTGAGGACCCCTGCCTTAGGCCATCCGAGAATCCTATATAATAAAAGCCTAATATGCTAAGTGTCCAGTCATCTGTTCAACCAATCAAAGCATAATATGCTAATGATATGCTAAGGCTGTTTGACCAGTCACTATGATGTTCACTCACCACCAAAGGGCAAACGTTCCGACTGGTAGGTTAACTTGCTGCTGGGGTCCAGCTGATTGATCAGGACTGAGCAAGATGGGCTGGACATGCCCTGGAGCCCTCCCGCAATCCGGGACCCCTCAGGGGATGTCAGAGAGCCGGTCTCAGCCAAGGGACCCTACTGATGCAGGACTTCATGCACCAGGCTTCTAATGTAAAGAATAAATACCCCTGGCGGGGTGAGGAGAGGCTATCTGGGGCCTTAAGAGTTACTTACTCTTAGGATAATTATGGCTTTGTTTTGCCTTTAAGGACTATGTTTTATTAAATTTATTCAGTTTTGGAATAACTATAATCTGATTTGATTAAGAACTTACCTTATTTGAGAGACTTTGACTTGTTTCCCATGTATTTAAGGTGGTTAGAATTTGCTCCTGAAAGATGAAAAAAAAGTTTTCATTTGAATTTGTTAGTGAAACAATCAGGAAGCTCCCTCCCCTTCCCTCAGGGTTAGCTGCAAGTAGCCTTTCCCATCTAATCACCTTTAATGTACTTTTCAGGAAAGTGCAGACCGCCTGGCACATGAAGTGAGCTTGGTGGTATTTCAGCTGGCTGGAGGGGTAGGAGAAAGTCCCCAACCAGGTTTATGAAGACAATTTTTACATTCTTGAGAGACTGGATTTTTGAAAGGTTTTTATACAACGGTAAAGCCATTATTGTGACGGTTCAAACACATCTATAATCATAATGTTTACTACACCTTAATGGATTGTTTCTAGGTCTGATTGTTTTTCTTAAACACTACCAGAATAATTCCTTACACTCGTTAAATTCGTTGTTGTTTTTTCTTTTAAATGAAACTTACCTCTAGTTTCAGTCTCACTGATGTAAGATATTGGGGCTTACATATATGATTCAGTTAAATTTATAATGTATGCTGGGAAGAAATCATGAGGGCTGCTGGAAATTAAATCTTATTAGCAACATGTTGAGATGTCTTTTCTGTAGCCATTACCTAACCAGGATGTTGTTTGCAGTCAATTATTCTCCAGCAAAGTCTTCAGAGTGATTTTTAAGTGACTTACCTCTTCAGTTACCATCGTCAGGAGCTCAGAGGTGGAATATGGAGGCTGTACATCTCTGTACTGAGGTGGACGTGCCACATGTAAAGGGATCATGTCCCAGGCTTCGGGCTTCAGTTATTCCTTATTCCTCTTAGTGAAGGTATGTGGGAGAAAGCTAATTGTAATGCATCACCAAACCTCTGGCACTAAAATGTGGTTAATAACAGAAAGAAAAACTCCCCAACCAATCTAAATTAAACCAATCTTGACACCAATAGAAAAAAATGTGCAGTGTATATTTTGCAGGTTTAAGACAACTCAGGACAGTAAAACAATGAACTATATATGCATATATATAGATCTCTCTTAGGCACCATAATCAATATGAGCCAACAATATTTATACGTGATCCAGGCCACATTCAGACGTTTGCTCTTATTTACAAATACTTAAATAAAATACAACCTGAAATGTGTTTTGTTACATACAAAAAAAAAAAGAAACTATAGAACTCAGAGTAATGTTTTGTTTTAAATGGTAACATTTACATTTAAACTAAATGGAACCACTTGTGGTGCTCAAGTTTTTATCACTCCTTCCAGAAAATCTTTTTCTACCATCTCTTCTATTTTTTGCCTGGCTTTGCTGGAAAATGGTTTGTGGTTTTCCAGTTTCATGTCCGTATTAGGAAAAGTGTTTGAGTAGAGGACAGGGCTCCCTGAGTGTCCCACACATCGGCTAGTGACTTTGCTGTTGAAGACTTGACTGAGCACATTGAAGAATGGCAGGAGCTGCTCAATACTGCGCACGGTACAGATGGTGAGCAGCAAGTGCCCCGGCTCCCAGCCTAATGTTCTCCCTGAGTTGTCTTCCTCTGGATTTTTCTGCAGAAAACAAAAAGGGAATTATTATTAACAGATGTTATAGTACATGAGAATACTTAAAAAGGAATAAACATCAATAAAAAGTTAAACAAATACAACTGATGATATTACATCTTCATTGTAGACTTAAGATTCTTGCTTCTAACTGAGGCCTTTGGATACCAGTTAGTAAGTGAATATAGAGGAGTCATACACTGCTTACATTTTTCAACTAGAATGCATAAAGAAGCTTAATAGAATTGGTTTTGGATAGGAGGAGTCAAATATTAAAAGTTTATTTTGTGCTTTGCATATACTCAAAAAGCTCCCAGATTTCTGGACTCCCACTAATGTAACCAAGGACTAGGTCACAAAATGGCTACAGAAGGCCAGGAAGGAACAAAGATTCTTGTACATTTTACCATTAGTAACTCAATTCCCTATTAGCCAAGTGGCTTAAACTTGCCGCAAGATGGTAGCAGGACCCAAAGTGAATAATTGTCATCAGCACAGAGAAAGGAAAGGAACCCTCGGGAGACTGTTTCTGTGTTGTGCTAAACACTATGGGGAGGAGAGCTGGAACTGGAGTAAAAATATCCAGGTTAGTGCCCTAGCTCTGTCATTTACTTACTGTGTGTCCTTAGGCAAGATACAGAAAGGTTCCTCTGTAAAATTGGGGACTCTATCTTGCAGCAGGAAAGTCAAATGAGAATGTATGTATGTAAAAATTCTGTCAACTGAATAAACACAAGATCATCTGTGTACTAAGAAGCTAATTTGAAAAGCCACTAAATATACAAACAGCTGTTAGATATCAATATGACTGGAAAAAGTTATAAGAACTAAAGATGCTTGAACTTAGGCAGACTCAAAGATATGAAAACAAACTCTAAACTGGAGAAAAAAAGGAAAAATCAAGTGGAACTCAGGAAACAGAATTACAATCTGTCATATTAGTTACAAGTTCAGGTGTTGTCAAGAAACTTGATTCTACCTAATATTTTAATCACTAGTTTCCTAGTGGAGAAAGGAGATGCAAAATCCAGTTCATTTTCTTGTGTGTGCTCACAGATTTGTTTGCTAATTTTGTCTGCCAATTTAAAAATAAAATCCTGAGAAAGGAAAAAAGATTTAATTTAAAACAGAAGACTATGTGAAGAAAAAAAGATCATCCAATTCTTTATGGCCAGAAAATCTCAGCTATCTCTTAGTTAATATAATACGTTAGTAGTGATTTAACCTCCAGTCTCAATTATAGGCTATAAAAAAAACATCTTCCTGCCCAGATGGCGTGGGTCAGTGGTTGAGCATATGCCTGGGTTGTGGGCTCGATCCCCAGTGTGGGGTGTGCAGGAGGCAGCCGATCAATGATTCACTCTCCCTCTCTGAAATCAATAAAAATACACTATTAAAAAACCATCTTCCTTTCTCTTAACTATAACGCTTTAATGACAGTCCCAGGACTGATTTTCACAGCATTGTCTACCATTAGTTGGCTGACCATACCACCTTTAGTTCCCTAAATCAAACGACAATTCCATAGTAATTAGAGCGTATTAAACATTATCCTAAAGTAAAATGAATATATTTGATCCCTCTACATAAATATTTTCCAATGTAAGAGAACTAAGGTTAACCTTTTGTTTATGTTCCTGTCCTGGTGTACCTTTAAGAGAGGGACTTAACTAAGCTCTTGACCAAGAAGAAGGACTTGTCTTAGTGTTCTGCTCTTAATCAGAATCACCTTCCTCAATAATAAGTAAAATTAAAAAGTCAAACACGTTTCCATACAAACGGTTTCTCCTTTCACTTCGCCAATCTATACTTGAAGAAAGACTTCCTTCCTTTTTAACTCCGTTGTAATGGTTGAAATTCAGACCTGGGTTTATGTCTCAATATTTGGTACAGATGTGGCAACTTTTGCTGCCATATTACAAGCATCAAAAAGCCACCCTCACCTGATGCTTGGTCATCTCCAATCCCTCCAAAATCACTGTCTTAAAGTCCTCCTCCTTGTCCTGTGGAAGGAAAGAGGAGAACTCATAGCCTTTGTTCCATGAAAAGTATGCTTGGCCATGAAGGCCTTGTTTAAAGTGTTTTGGGAATGCTTTCCAATCAAAACTGTTTTCTTACTCTGTGGGATAATACTGTCATATTTATCCCTTAGATAGGGAGGAATCTTATAAAAATGCTCAATAATGACATGCAATGATGACTGAGTAAATGTGCCTAGGGTTCATATATAGTCACCTTGCTTCTGGATTTGCTATCATGAATATTTTTTCAAACCTGTGATATCAAAGTGGAAGTGCTTAAATCCTACCCTAAACTCTGGACCAACTTTCATCTTTGACTCTGTCCTTTTACTTGGTCCCTAAAGAAATAGTTTGATTTTAAATCCTTCAAGTACAACCTCCTTTTTAATCACTTGTCTCCATTCCATTTTCTATAGTTTGTAGAACGTGGTTTAGGAGCTACTACCTGAGTAGGGAACCCCAGAAGACTGGAAAATTTCTGAGCACTCAAAGCACATTCTGAAGACTAGAACTCAAAATCCCCAAATTGTATAATTTACTTTTTAAATTTTTGAAGGCAAAATAAAAGATTTGTAACAAAGGCTCACTGATGGCATGCTAAATTCATTATAACTGACCCTTGAACAACTACAGGTTTAAATTATATGTGTATACTTATATACAGATTTTTTCAATAAATGCTGTAAATTTATTTTCCTTATGGTTTTCTTAACATTTTCTTTTCGCTAGTTTATTTTATTGTAAGAATACAGTATATAATTCATGTAACATACAAAATATGTGTTAATCGACTGCTTACATTATTGGTAAGGTCAACAGTAGGCTATTAGTAGGTCAGGTTTGGGGATTCAAAAGGTATACATGGATTTTCAACTGGGCAGGGGGAGTGTTGGTGCCCCTAACCCTTACTAGTAACATTGTTCAAGGGTCAACTTTACTATTTGCTTGGGTCAAGATTTCTATTCAATTAATCTGATGTGTAATGAAAAATATAAAGTTCATAACACAATATAAACATGTTTTATAAATTCTATCTTACACTTAAAGACACATTTAAAGGAAGTGTAATACCTTTGCCCTTTTTCGAAGAAGTTTTGCCAGTCGTACTACATAAGGTTTAAACTCTCGTTGATGTATGCCTTGCCTTCTGACTTCCAAACCAGAATCATCTGAGGCTTCTGGAATAAAGGCCCATCGGTACCTATGTGTAGAAGAATGATACCCGTCAACATTAGGAACAGACTTGTGCCATCCAAGACACATAACATAGAGTAGAAAGATCAAATCCCCACCACTTTCACAGATTCAAATGCAGCTATGCCCTTGTAGCCCTCACCGTGGGCATGTGTCAACCTGAGCCTTTATCAGTAAATACAGATACTGTTAACTATCTCATAGAATTGTAACAAGTAAATAAATGTGTAAACTTGTAAAGTGTGCATCACTATTTTTTTTTTCATGAGCACAAAGGAAGTCCTTAACAAATGTTTCCATCCTCATTAATAGGGAACATTTGGCCAAGTGTATGGTGGAAATTTTGCCTAACTAAAGAGTAAGGGACAAAGGGCAAATAATTTAAGGACTTCTTTCATACCTCCCTTCGTATTTTTTATTTTTGACTTAATAAGTAAAATTAATACCTGACTCTGGAAAAAAGTCAAACAGTACAAAAGGGCATACCAAAGAAAGAGAGTCTGCCTCCACAGCAATATCGCTAGTCTCGTGTATCTATCTGGAGTTTATGCAGAAAAGAGCACATATTCTTACAGCCCTCCTCTTTAAAACAAGACAGGATTGCTTATTTCCATTGAATTATTTATCTTGGAAATGTTATCATATAAAATTCCATCCTTTAACAGTACTCAGTGGGAGGTGCTGATTTAACCAGTCTCCTAGATTTGTCCAGTTTCTTGCTTCTACAAAAAGTGTCATAATGGACACCCTTATATGACGTAGATTTTGTGCTCACCTGAGAGTGCAGTGGTCGGCTAAATTCCTGGGTGTGGTAGAATTACTGGTTTACTGAGGGATGTGTATTTAAATTTGTAAATATAATCTCTTTGGAGAGCAACTGACAGTATTTCAGTTTATACTTCCAATAAGAATAAGAATGTTTCTGTTGTTAATGGTAAAAAGACCATTCTGATGTTTATTTACAATTTTAATTGGAATTTCTCTTATGAGTATGTCTGGGCACCTT